TTTACACTATTAGGTGGAATAGTTTAACCTAATTTTCCTTCCACTTAGCTTCCAAGGGCTCTCTTCTGCCGCTAGGTAAAACAACAAATCCCACCATAATGAAGAAGAATTTTGTGCAAATGTTGATGTTAATATCTGACCTAGAGCTCTGTCTTTTCTTTGCAGAGCCTCATCTCACTTATGCATGTGAAAATCTGGAATAATTTCCAATACAGTCATAGGAGTTACTGCAGAGTTAGGTGGGTTTAAACAAAATCTGTTTGGAAATTAGATTTTGTGGGTAAGTAAAGGGCAAAATTCCTTTCAAATGTTTATCTCTGAACACAATTACAATATAACTGTTTACATAGCCTTAGTTCATATTTTTTCAACAATTCAAAATCTTTTTTAAATGGTGGAGTGATAATTATACAACGATGGAAGATGAACTGAGTGCCTGAAAAATTTACTTTACACGGGTTAGAAATTTTCTGTGAATTTTTAAACCCTTAAATCAATATTGTGCAATTTTTACTTAAATTTCAGAAAATGTCATCAAACAATATTTTGAGATTAATCCATAAGCAGCAAGATCAGTTCTGATGTAAATAGGAATTAATTAATTTGATTATACACCTAAACATAGATGTTTTATACAGTTATTTTAACAACTGTGTTTATATGATAATTAAATATGTATTTGATGAAATCCCCCAGTGCTTGTAAGAGGAAGTCTCTTTAACGTTTTCACTACTAATGTCTGCTCTTGCAGTCCTCCCAAATGACACCGCTGCAAGATTTCTATGTTGCAGATGTCAAAGGGATTCAGGATTCGAAAGTTCACCAGGCCTGGGATGACAATGGTGTAAACCTGGGTCCTGACGACTTGCGGTTTAGGGCATGACAGATCAATCTTATATGTGCTATCCGAGGTGTGAGGCAGGATTTCAGAAATCCTATACGAAGGATAGAACCACACGAAAGTAGGATGAGAGAATTTGGGTTGGTTTTTATTTTTTTCCCCCGAGAGGAAAATATTCTGCATCCGTTTTAGCACCGGATTTATCATTTCAACTTGTTCAATAGCATTTTAGGAAAACAGCTTTGCAAAGCAGGAGCCCCTGATAAGCAGGTTAAAAGCTGTAAGCATTAGGATCAGCCAGTGCTTCTACAGGACGAGACTCCTCTTTGGTTAATACATTAAATTGTTGACTCACAAGTGGTGAAACATTTAGAATAAAGTCAGTTCGTGTTGCTGTGAATGGATGAAAGGTGGTTTATGGCCTTTATTGAAACATGAAGTCTGCTTTCTCTGCTCACAGAAGCATAAACCTATTTTTCCTGCGCAGTATATGCCGCTGGCATAAATCAGAGGAGCCCTGCTCTGCTTTCACCCCTCCTCTGCTGCACTGAGGAGATTGATCTGCAACAGGGGAGGCACAAATCTGACATGAACTGCTCAGGCTAAGCTTGAAATGAGTGATTCGTGGACACAACGCTGTTTCCTGAAGTGTGTGAACGAAATGCAAGTGCTTTGCCCTCTCTCTGAAAATGAAAAGGCTCCACTCCTACAGCGACTGAGATGATGGTTGTAAAGGCAGATTGTGCTGTCTTGAATTTGCACTGAAAACCACACGGCCAGCCCAAAAATGAGACTAACCGATGATGACAACAGAATAAAAATAACAAGATAAATATCCTAACCATCACCCCAAACAGAGGACCCTAAAAAGGTCAGGTGAACAAACTCCTGTGCCCTGTGGCACTAGGAGATCTAATGCTCCTCTATGTTTTGGAGCAATTTTCCATCTGAGCGCCTCAGTTTTTAGCTTTTCCCAGCAAGGTGGGTATTACCAAACCAGGCAACTAAATAACTTGCCCAAAGCTCTGCATCAGATCTATGGCAAGACTACGAAGAGGTTCCTGTTGCCTGGCTGTAACTGTGCTGGGAGTTGCTCTTTATGGTTTTGCTCGTCTCCGCTTGTGTAACCGATTCCTTCCCCTACAACCAGCTATCTCGTTGTATGTCCCGGACCTGTCTGCCCAGGAGAGGATGCAACACCTTTCAACAACACTGGGCTTTGCTGTTCTTAAAAACTGAACAAGTTAGTGAGCCTGGGATGAGCGAATTGCAATAGCAACATGTTAAACAGGGATGCCAGAGCACATCACCCCAGATCTACTGTCTGTAGGTTAAGCAGCAAGGTGTAAAAAGCAGACAGTCAACTTGAAGTCAAAGAGAAGGATCTTCTTTCAGTTACACTGCTTTTAAGACGCTAAAATTCTTCCAATATTCACAGAAAAAAGGGTTTTTAAAGCAACTCTCCATTGACTTCAGTGCAGCAACCGGGTGTAGCTGAAGGCAGAACTCAGTGTTGCAGGCTTGCAGCCCAAGCTGTGGCTGCTTGCAAAAGGACTGCTTAGTCCAACGGTTTCCACCCGTTTTGGATTTCGTCCTTACAATGGATCTGCAAATTCCCGTAGTGTGAATTTAAACCTGATAACAAGAACTTTGGTTTTGAGACCCATGGTGTTGGGCTGTGGACCATCACTGACTGCAGACCAGGGCTCGTAAACCACTGTACTAATGGTATCGCAAATTGTGACTGTAGGTCTGGTTCAGTATAACACACAGTACAGAAAGGCAGGAGGATAAAAACTAAAATAGTTGCAACTAAAGCCCCTTGGGTGCCTCAGGAGACTCTGACAATAGTCATTTCGCAGAACCAACGATAAATCAGGTAAAACGTAGACCCACCGCGCAGGTGAGCTAGGAAACAGACATGGTATCTGTTCTCTGTTGCAATAGTACCACACAGCAGTAATGTTGTCCTCTTGGTGAAGTTACAAATAGTCCCATTTTCACAAATAGAAAGGATTGTAAGGATGGAAAGAGAAAGCCTTCATGAGATCCATCCATCCTCCAGTTCTTTGCCAGATGAACCTGATCTTTCCATAGGCAGAACAAGGCTGGTTATTGATTCTCAAGAAAGCAATGAATTCCCTTCTCAGCCAAGTGCGTTATGCCAAATGCATCCCTGATGCGATTCTACTCAGAACAATCCTCTTGCTCCATGGATGAGCCTGCTCTTTGCTCCATTGGCCTGAAGAAGCTCTCCCTCAGTTTCTCCCTGGAGGTGACTCAGGGATCTGTTTCCTTCCCTATTACCAAGTTTAAGCAATTGCACATCATGGATCAAAACATATTTCATAACATTTCCGAAGCTTACAGGCAAACTCCAATTATATTTCTTCAACCAAGCTCAAGAAATTTTTGATTTATGATGGCGGGAATAACAGCACATGAGTAATTTGGGGCTGAACGTGTACATTTGCAACCCCAAGAGCTGCACAATGCTCCTACCACTGTTTTAAAGCACTTGTTTGTTTTTATAACATCTTTTGCCTTGGTACAAGGGAGCTTCATCAAGATATGCCACCCTAACAGTGATTTGTGTTCCTCTACACCCTGCACACATCTTATTTTTCTTTCTGTAGCACACAGTAAGAACAAAAAAAATCAAGTATTTCAAGGTTTATTCTGCTGAAACAATTATAGTCTTGCTATAGTAACACCATGCTCCCTGTAATGTTTTTGAATGATTTGATGGTAACCTGGGAAAGGACTACAAGGAAAGCAAGCATAAAAACAAGACAAGCAAGTACATAAATCAGAACACTAATCTTAATAGCCTGTTAGGTCTGAATCCTCTTAATGTACTAATACAACATTAGTGTCTACAGAGGGCTGGCCCAAAAAGTGCATCCAGACCAGGATCTTGTCTCAGACAGCGCCAACAGCAGAGGCCTATAGAAAATGCTGAAAAAAATAGGAGTGGAGTACCATTTTCCCCTCAGTATTTCTCTAGATTCCAGTCATTTGCTGCTTAGCAGCTTCTTGAAACAGATTGCCTTTGTATTTGATGGCTCTCACTTGAGTGTGTCAAAAGCACACTTCAACCCCTGTTATTATCACAAGACAATGTGAAAACACTGAAGATGACGAAAGAGGGCAAACCTCTGGCTTTTGTTGGCCATGTCTCCACATCTGGGCCAGCTCTCTGTCTGCCGTGGAATGGTCTGTGCCTATCCTAGTCTTCTCTCTTACCCTCCAAAGCAGTAAGATATC